GCAGGTGTAAATCTCAGCCAGGAGGGTGCCACCCTGCACGGGTTGATTGCATTTTATATTTTTTCTTTTTTTCTTAAATTGGTGGAAGGAGAAGTAAGGGTGTGGAGCTGAGAGATGCTCTCAGCATTGCTCGTCCACAGAGTTCTCTTCTGATGTGTGATGAAACACACATTAAAAAAAAAAAAAACGGCCTCAAGTTGCACCAGGGGAGGTTCAGATTGGATATTAGGAAACATTTCTTCACAGAAAGGGTTATCCAGCATTGGAATGGGCTGCCCAGGGAAGGGGTTGAGGCACCATCCCTGGAGGTGTTCAAAAGACGGGTTGACATGGTCCTCAAGAATATGGTTTAGTGATTTTTTTTTTTTTTTTATTTTTTTTTTTCTTTTTTTTTTTTTTTGTCAGAGTTAGGTTGATGGTTGGACCAGATGACCTTTAAGGTCCCTTCCAACCTAGAGGATTCTATGAAAACACTCAGATGATAACTTCTGTGCTGTCCGTGTCACTGGAGGAAATGCCCAGCAGGACAGGCCATGGGGAGGGGTTGTCCATTTCTGGGGGGCTGCTCCTTCAGGCACTGGGTTGGGATCTCTGTTCCCTTCCCCACCAAACCTGAGTCTTTTAGGGTTATCACTGACAATTGTCCCTCTGACAATGAACATACCGTGCAGAACATCTGCTGCACAGCACTTCAGGTGAGATGTGACTTTGTCTCCTGACCTTCATCAGAAGGGTCGAGATTGGTGTTTGTCAAGTCATCCTGGTTGTGTTCTTGCCTCTGGGCCCAAGGACAACTTCAGTGCTTGTGGCCTTAAGAGATGACTCTTCATCTGGTACGTGCGAGCGGGGGTGAAAGAAAAGTGACCATGGGGTGTGTTGGGGGGGTCATGCAGGCTGTGGGACAGGAGGTGTGGGACAGGAGGTGTGGGACAACCTGGTGGATTTTTCTACATGTGGCAAGTATCTGAGTGCTCAGCAGAGGAACGGCTCGATGCCCACCCCTTTTGGTGCATCTGTGGTAGGAGAAGCTTTGAGGCTGAGATGGTGCTTGGGGTGCATGGTGGCATCAGCAGGGCCCCCCCTGGGGCAGCAGGAACCCCTGGTGCCAGGCAGATGCTGAAGCACCAGAGAAGGGGTGGCTGCTGGTGGGACCTCCTGGTACCTCCACAGCCCAGCGCGGAGAGCGGGGACGGCCTCCGAGGTTGGCTTTGGTCCTGGCAGCAGCTCTAAAGAGCGTAACATTTACTAAGTTGAAAAGTAGATATGAAATTAGCTTCCTTTAATCAGCTTTTTGCTATTAATTAACTGTGAACAATATGACCGTGGTGCTTAGAATCCCTCCTGGCCAGCTCCAAGGGCCGAGGTGGCCTCTGCCATCTGTCAGTCTGAGCTCCATCTGCCCCGTGCCTTTGTGCAGGTGCCAAACTGTTTCTCCTGGTGCTGTCGTGCTGGGGGAGGAGAAAAGGAGACTAAAGAAGCCCAGGCTGGTTTCTTTTTTTGTGACAAAGCCGTTGTGGCCACAGGTGTATGCTCAGATAAGGGGCTCAAGGTGGGCAATTCTTCTGTAGCCTTGGCATGTGAATACAAAGTCACCTCCTCCTTCCTCTTTAGGGACACCTCCAAACTGGCTTCTTCCCAGTTCTTTGAAATAAGACCATTAATTAATGAGGCAGAGGCAAAGACACACACGAACACACTGGAATAGTTTTTAACCTGGCTTGATTAATGCTGTCAAGTTGTACATCTGAGTGTGAGCTCAGTGGGACTGTTGCTTTTGTTTAATACCACAAGACACCTCAGTCTGGATTGTTGCATTACAGTACAAATAAAAAACAGGAACAAAACCACATCTGCATCATACAAGGTGAGAAGAATATGAGAATTCTAAATATTTACAGAGAAGGGCAAGTGGGGAAACCACAAAAAATATTTACATAAAAATACATGAGCTTGTCGGCATATACATTTTACACCAGTTCACAAAAAAAGACACTATATAAATTAAAGTGAAGGGAACTCCAAAGGTAACCCAAGACTTTCTGGGATGTTTCTCTCATGCGGCTCAGGGAAAGAAAAAAAAAAAATAAAAAATAATCAAGTCTTCTACGGCAGGAAAATGAACTGCAAAACAAGCCTTTTCTCCCTCTTCCCTCCCTCCCTCCCTCCCTCCCCAAAAACTGGACGAGGCGAGACCCTGCAGAGGAAGGATGGAGCTGGATGTTCAGACCAGACCATGCAGGAGGCTCCGGGGAAAGATCTGCCCAAGTCACCTTTAACAAAAGCAAAACGATTTCTCCCCCATATTTCCCCAGGAATCCCTTGAGTCAACGCCCCGTGGAGGGGCAGAGCACACCCGGGGGCTGTCCCTTTTTGGGGTTGAGGAGGAACTAAAGGTTTTTTTGAGTTGGTTTTGGTTTTGTGTAGCAACTTTTACTACTGCTGTGCAATCCCACCTGACCCCCCCTTGGAATGGTGAGCGTAAAGCGAGGGTCTCTGGAAAGACATAGGCACAAAGTTGGGGGCATTTTGTCGTGGATGCATATAGATTTCACCTGATAAGACTCTTTAAAAACCCAAAGTTAATGCTTTTTACTTAAGACTTCACAAGGGCTGGGTCCTCCTTACTCACCTAACGTCTCCCAGGGAAGGTCTCCCACGTTCCGCTCGGAAGCGGAGGTGGGAATGCCAAAAATTGGACCCCAAATTTTCCATGCAACGGGGAGAAACTGGGCTGAAAGCTCAGGAAGTGGGAATTGGAGGTGCTGACAGCTTGTGGGAAGCCTAAGGGAATTGTTTCAGAACAATTCATCCTGCTGGAGATAAGGTCAGGCAATGAATGACTCCATCTGGGCAACCATCCCCTTGCCCTCTCCCACTCCTCTGCCAGGACCATGGTGGGACCCCCCAGGATTTTTGGGGAAAGAGAAGAGCTGGATGTTTGGGTTTCGGGGTGAATCAAGGAGGGTGCAGAACTCCAAGGAGTGGGAGGGATGAAGCACAGTGCAAGAGCAGAACTGCATAGTTCACCGTATGGCTTTGCGCGGGGTGGGGACGACTGCGGGGCCACGGGGGGGTGTTTCAGCCACCTGGGTTGTGCCAACACCAAAAGAAAGGTGCTCATCTGAGTTATTGTCTGGGAAAAGCTGGGAAAACCTTGCCTTTTAATTATTTTTAAGTTTTTTTTTGTAACAGTGGGGTGAAAAGTGAGTTTGGGGTCCTCTGAGAGCTTCCAGGCTGATGTGTGCGGAGGGACGGGAGGATGCTGGCTGTTCAGGTAGATATGAAGATAAAATATTAAGTTTTCTGCCACGTGTCTGGTTTTAATGGAGACCTTCTGGTTGGGGAGGGCTGTTTGTGTGGGGGTGGGTGCTTCTAGAAGCTCTTTCTGAAAAGTGCTGAAAGCTTTTCTTTCCTGGGGGATGAGAAGGGCCTTCATCCCCGGCGCTGAGCTGAGGAGCCCAGGCAGGATGAGAACCAGAGCAAGAGGGAAGAGATCCAGGGATGGCACTTCATCCCTAGAGGGAGACAGTGGCTTTGAGCAGGAAAATCCAGAGGCATTTCCAATGAGGGGGAGCTGGGGGCACCCCTCCTTTAGTAGGATAGTCCTGGTCAACATAAGGCCAAAGGGGGGGTCACTGTGAGGGGGCAGGAGGGGGGAGTTAAGGCTTTCGTGGAGAGGGAGGTGAGACCTACAGCTCTCCTTACCTGAATCCCAAACCTGAATCCCAAACAGCCTGAACCCAACCTGCAATGTCCCTGCTTCCACCACAGACCTCCTCGGGTCATGGGGGGGGGTCTGGAGAGACCGTGCTCCAGCTCCAGGCTACTGGGAGAGCACAGACCCAAACTGGGGCTGGCACCCAGGAATCTGGGCAGCTCAGCCCTCCCTGGAGTCTGGCAGCGACGGGGATGGGGTGGCTCACCCAGCAGCCCCCTGTCTATGTACTTCTCTTAGTTTTCCCTAAAAAAACCCTTCCCAATCCCAACCCCTCCCACCTGGTGATGGCTCTCATGGTGGTTGTGATGCCCCGGATCCACCAGATTTATTTCTGTAACCCAACCCCAAACCCAAATGCTCCAAAGGGCAGCACTGCACAATAAAACAGGAGCATCAGGGAGCGTTACTGAACCAGCCCCCGCCCAGGCTGCGAGGTTAAAAGAAGCAAACAGATTTGTTAGCTACTAGAAGCAGGTTTTCCTTAGGATTTGAAAGCCCCAAAATAGGCGTGAAACTCGCGCTCGGGGGAAAAAAAACCCATCGAAGTTGCCTTTGACTTTCACAGCTGGGTGGGCCTCTGGGGTTTTAATAACACATGAGAGATTCAGAAGGGGGTGGAGAAGTTTCTTCACCCACGCGGGACAGGAACAACCTTGAAATTTATCCCTGACCATCTTAAAAACTCCTAAACCTCAGGTATAGGTATTGCTTGCGAGCCCTGCCCAATGACATGGATGTGCTTTATTTATAAGGTGGGGTTTTAACGAGGCCTGGGAAGGTCTTTCCCAAGGGGGAAAGCTTTTAAATACCAAGGATGACATTCTTAGTGTGTGATGGAGCCTTCTGTCCCCAGGAACTATTTCAGGTATCTCCAGAGCTTCGCAGGGAGCCCCTCTCCACCACACAGCCTGAAGACTCTGGAAAGCCCCATCCCACAGCCTTTATTTTAAGGTCAACAGGAGCATTCCCTGATGGAAAAGCTGCAGGATGTGGTCCAGGGCAAGCAGCTGGTCATGCAGTAACTCGGCACTTACAGGGTCACTCCCAGCTGGTAAGTTGGGCTCCAATTTACAAGCTAGACACAATGCTATAGAGATTTGTGGGGTTTTTTTTAAGTTTTTATAGTATTTTCTTATTTTGTAGCGAGATGCTACTGTCTGGCCAGCCACAACATGGTATTAAATCGTCTGGACTGCAGACAGCCCAGCAGTAAAGAGGAATTGGCATGAAATGGGGGTGCTGTTCCCAGCTCTGTGTGTGCAGTTTGGTGTAGTTTTGAGGTTTTTGTTTTGTTTTTTTTTCCTTTTGGTATGAGAAACACAAACCTGCCCTACTTGGCTTCCGTAGCCGCCCTCTGCTTACAACAGAGAAATTGAAGGTAATTAGATTTCTTGTAGTCAGAGGCAGCTCGTTAAGGGAGCAATTGAGAAAGTGCCTTGTATTTCCAACTTGCTTCAGAGCCTATTCCAGGGGCTCGGAGTCAAAAGAGGCTCCCACACACCTCCAAGCAGCTGAAGTGGATCTCGTGTGCCAAAAAGAGCAGCAATTTTCCAGGGAGAGGCCTTTATCAAGAAGAAAATACTTGGGAAATCTTTTCCCCCCTTTCCCTTGCTGCGTAACCTCCGAGGGGGCAGACCCACGGGATGGCAGGGAGACCCTTTCCTGGCAGGTCGTGGTGGTGGGGGGTGACTTGCTGGGGAGGAGGAACAGCCATGGTCCATGGTGCCCAGGACCCTGGTGGTGGGGAAGCAATGGGAACTGCCCCTGACAAAAACCTGGGGAAGGAAAAAGCTTCTTTTCCTCCCCTCCCTGCTCCCAACAGCATCTCAGTCGGCTCTGCCCGGCCTCTCTGGCACCATCCCTGTGCCAACAGCCTGCCCCGTGGGTCCAGTTGTCTCGAAACTACATGAAAAAGCTAAATCTCTACTACATAAAAACAGAGAGGGGTGTGGGGGGGAGGTGGGTTTGCTTTGCTCACGGGGGCAGGGTCGGGGGTGGCTTTTTTGTGGGGTTTTTTCTTTTTTTTTTTTTTCCGTCACTGAAAAAATAAAACAGTCCACTGTCCAGCAGAGGCTGCTTAGACTCTATCCCTCCTTTTTCCCCCCCCCCCCAAAACCAGCTCACTCGACGTGGACCTCTGTCTCGGGCCTCTGCAAACACAGCTCCGTGGGGAGGAAGGCTCCCTGGCCCAGGGCCGTGGCGTAAGTTCTACTGTGCACGTGGGTGAAAGAGGGGGGCACAAACCCCCCCCCACCACCACCACCTCCTCCTCCTCCTGTGACGTAGCCCCCTCTTTGGTGCTGAGGCATGGTATGGTAATCCTCCAAATTATCGTACTGGGACACCACAGTCATCGTGCTTTGGCGTTTCCCCAGGGTCTGGTAGGGGTAGAGGAGGGCAGAGTCCCTCTCCAGGGGCTCGGGGGGCTGCATTCTCAGGCTGTGGCTCCTTTCGGGTTTGGGGGGGGGCACGGCGGCCACGACCACGTGCTCCTCTTCCTTGTAGCAGTCCCTGGAGTGTTTCTCCATGGGGGGGACCGGCCGGGCTCGAGACCTCTCCAAATCCGGCCTCTCCTCTGCCAACCTCACCTCCTTGTGGTTGAGCCTCAGGCTCTCCTGGTTTGTTGGGATGTACTTCCCACCCGGGTGCTGGTAAGCCATGGGCTCGGAGGGCTCGGGGGGGCCACCTTTGGGTCTGTAGTCGGGGTAAGGGGGCCCGTTTTTGGCTTCGGATGGTTGCCTGTGGCTGGTTTCTTGCGGCAAGTGCGTCCTGTGCTCGGTGGTGCCGCAGCCCGGCTCGTGCAGCTTCCTGCTGCGGATGCTGCTCTGCTTCTGGGGCAGGGAGGGCTTCTCGGGCTGCCCGTTGCCATAGGGCCCGTGGTAGTGGGGTCTCTCCAGCTCGGGCTCGGGGTGCTGGCCATAGTAACGGTCGTCCCCCTCGGGTGTAGCCGCTTTGGCTGGGTACCTCCCCCCCTCTTTGCTTTCCGCCACCGTCAGGAGGCCGCTTTTCCCCGGATCGGATTTGCTGCGCAAGTGGATGACGTCCAGCCCTCCTCCCAGTTCCTCCTGCAGCAACGGGGCCACGTTGTCGTACTGGGACATGAGGGGCCCTTTGGCTTTCTGGCGCGTGCGGCTCTCCCGGCGGATGGACTGCATGCGGTACTTCTCCATGTCCTCCAGGTCCCAGGACATGTACATGTGCTTGATGTCCGGGGCGGGAGGCACGTCCCGACTGATGAAACTGTGCTCTTTGCCGGCCAGGTGACCCATCAAACCACCCCGGGGGTAAGAGGACAAGCTGGGATAACGATACAGCCCCTTGCTCTGCAGGCGGGAGGTGTAGGAGGGGAACTCTCTGCTGGGCAGGGGGTGGAAAGGCCGGACCCGCACCGTGCTGTAGGGATCCAGGTCGTAAAAGCTCCCGTCGGCCGCGGCGTAGTAGGAGGAAGAGGAGGAGGAGGAGGAGGAGTAGGGACTGTAGCGGTAATGGACCCGTCCGTTCTCGAAGTAGGGCTGCAGCTGGGTGACGTGGTAGTCGGAGTGGGGCTGGTAGGGCTTGTACTGGTAGAGGGGCCTGGGGCAGAAGACGGGCTCGTCGTCTGGGGGCACCTCGGTGCGGGAGATGGGGACGGAGCGGATGGCGGAGGCGGCGGGGGTAGGGACGTGGAGGGACTGAACCCTGCGGATGGTGGGGTAAGGAGGGGCCTCCTCGGCGTAGCCGGCGCCGCGCAGGCCCGTGGGGCTGACGGAGGACACGAACTCGGTCCGGCCGCGGGGTTTGGAGTGCGGGGCCGCCCCGCTCTTGCCTTGGGTGGCGTAGGTGTTGTAGCGGGCGGCGGCGGGCGTCTCGGAGCGAGGGGGGTAGGCCGGGTGCTGCTCGGGCTGCTTGTGGTAGGAGACGTGGGGAGGAACGCTCTCGGGTCTGTACTGGTGGTGGCCGGGGGCCGGCTTGTGGTGCAGGTAGGCCTCGGGGCCCGAGGGCTCGGGGATGCTCTCCGGTTTGGGATGCGGGACGTAGACGGACTGCAGGGAGGCGTGCTTGGGCGGCGGGGGTGGCGGCGGCGGGGGCAGCAGGGCTTCTTCCACGGAGGAGGCCAGCATGGAGGAGGAGAGGAAGGCGTGGTAGTTGGAGTTGTTGATGGCCTCGGCGTTGCCGGAGTGCATGGCGGCGGCGATTTTGCTCTCCAGCGTCCTCACGGGGGGGACGGGGGGCGCGAAGCCGTAGGAGGGGTGAGTGGGGACGGACTCGGAGCGTAGGTGCAGGGGGGGAGCCCTGGGGGTCTCCCGTGGCTTCTCCAAATGGCTCTGGTGGCCCGTGGGCACGGAGGAGGAGCAGCGGGCGGCTGAAGTGCTCTCGGGGACAAAACCAGGTGTGGGCTCGGGTGGCTTTTCAGGCGCACCCCATACCTGGAGGGAAGAGACGGGTAGAAATTAGAGGCAAAGCATCTTCTCCCCCTCCAAAATCTGTAGTTAAAGTATCAGGGATGCCGGTACGGACGTGAGGTTCTCCTAGGCCTGGTTTCTGTGTGCACACCACAGGGTGGTGCCACCAGGACACTTTGGGACCCATCACAAATGACAACCGAGGGGTTCCCTCCACAAACGTCAAAATTGGGAGAGGGGAGGTGGCAGGAGGCTCTTTATAGCAACAGGTTTGAACTCTCACACAGCCACCACAGTGTTTTCTTAGGTGCTCTGCTTATAAATGTACCTGTCTTAATGGAAGTGTGCCCGGGATTAAATTCACACCCGGCCGAGCAGATCAAGTGGGTGAAACAGCAGGAATCCCTTCCCTAAATGTGGCTGCGGCGCTTGAGAGGGGCTGGGGGGGTGTGAGAGGGGCTGGGGGGGTGCATGATCCAGGGGCAGTTTGGGTTCCTGAGCAAACGCTGCCATGTCTGAGTCACCCCAGGAATCCAACCTTGGTTAGAGGGATGTTGGAAGGGGACACTGCCAGCCCCAGCGAAGGGAGGGTGCAAACAACTCCTACTTGTCTCTGAGCACTTCTAAACTAACATCCCTATGGCACCCCAGCCCATACTTTTTTTCCCTAAAACCAAGGACAGTGGGGACATTGGGATGGTCCATTAGGAAATCAGAGAATCATTCAGGTTGGAAAAGACCCTTGGGATCATCAGGTCCAACCATCAACCCCACTCTACAAAGTTCTCCCCTACAGCGTGTCCCCCAACACCACATCTAAACAACTCTTGAACTCATCCAAGGATGGTGACCCAACCCCCTCCCTGGGCAGCCTATTCCAGGGTCTGACCACTCTTTCTGTGAAAAATTCTTTCCTAATGTTCAGTCTACACCTCCCCTGTTGGAGCTTGAAGCCGTTCCCTCTCATTCTATCACTAATTACCTGCGAGAAAAGACCAGCACCAACCTCTCTACCGTGTCCTTTCAGGTAGTTGTAGGAGTGATGAGCTCTCCCCTCAGCCTCCTCTTCCTCACGCTAAATCCCACCCCGCTTTCCTGTCAGGCTGTGTCACACACGTGTCGTTTCCAGTCACCTGGGAATCCCCAGCCCCTCGCTGGTGGGATTTGGGACGAGATTAGTTCATAGAATCATAGAATGTTAGAGTTGGAAGGGACCTTAAGGATCATCAAGTTCCAACCCCCCTGCCCTGGGCAGGGACACCTCCCACTAGAGCAGGTTGCTCATCCCAAGGGGTCCCAAGACCCCATCCAGCCTGGCCTTGAACCCCTCCAGGGATGGGGCATTCACAACTTCCCTGGGCAACCTGTTCCAGTGTCTCACCACCCTCAGAGTCAAAAATTTCTTCCCGAGATCTAATCTGAATCTTTTTTCTTCCAATTTAAAACCGTTTCCCCTTGTCCTATCATTACCCTTCCTGGCAAAGAGTCCTTCTCCAACGTGATCTCCATCACGGATTAACTGGGCAGGGAAGACCGCGCTGTGGGGGTGAAGAGGTGGGACACACATCCACCTCCACCTACCTGACTGGAAGCTTTGGTGGTGGCTGCTGGTACTTGTCCCACGGCTGACTGGTGATCCACTGGGAGCGTGCGGGGGGCGTTGGGAAGGGTGCCATCCCCCGGGATGGTGGTGGGACCCGTTGACCCCCGGTTGGGCTCGGGGGCCGTGCTCTGGATGGTGGTGAGATACGGCACGGGAGCCGGGGCGCTCTTCTCCCCGGGAGGTGGGACGGGAGGAACCTGCGGTTTGTCATCGGTGATGGGAAGGTGGTGCTTGTCCCCAGACAGACATGGGCGCTGGTGGGGCTTATCTAGAGAGAGGTCTGGTGGGGGAGGCTCCCAATCGGGCAGTGCCCCTGGAGTGAGGTGGGGTGGGTGCTCCCAGTCCCCAGCGTGGCAGGAAAAGTGCTCTTTGTCCCCGGTTTTACCCGGATGGAAGCTGGGCTGCTCCTGCTCTGCATCTCTGCCACCAGGCACGTCCCCGGGGGTGCCGGGGTGGAGAGGTGGGGGGTCCCGGTTTCCAGGTGCACCCGGTGGGTGGTTCTGCTCCCCGGGTGCGCCGCTACCTTGGAAATCCTGCTCTAGTGGTGGTGCAGCACCAGTCTGGAAGTGGTGGCGGTTGTCGGGCAGACTGGTGTAGAGGTGGAGTTTGTCTGGAGGAGCAGCGGCGGAGAGATGGAGCTTTTCTAGAGCTGTGCCAGCTTCAGCCTCTCCGTAATTTGTGCTTTCAGAGTGAGCATCTCCTGGCCTTTTCTGAGACTGAGCGGTGGCTTGCTGCGCGGACTCGGCTAACGCTAGGGCTAGCATGCGCGCGGCGTTTTTCGGAGGAGGAGGAGGGATAAGAGACACAGAACTGACGGGAACAGGATCCTGGGGGGAGTCGAGGGCAACTGCTCCTAATGGGGGGAAAATTGAGAGAGAGAGTGATTTTACGTTACCCAAGAGAGTGACCTAACCTTAACGAGCGTTATTAAAAAAAAAAAAAAAAGAAAAAAATAAGATGCTCTCCCCACTTTCACAGTGGCAATTCCTTCTGACGTGAGACGCTATCGTCTTCTGTCTCGCATGCAAACGCTGCTCGACAGCACAGCAGTTCATCACAAAAAGGAAAAAAAAACAAAAAAAAACACAAGAGAGATTGTCTAAAGGCTTCCTCTTGCATTTCTAGAGAGGTAGGAAGTAGGTAGCAGAGAATGAGATACCCTTACACAATTTTGATCATAAGGTTTTAGGCGAAAAGGTCCCTTCTTCGAGTGTTGGCAGATTTTTAATTTAAAAAAGCAAAGTCTTAGATGGTCTATTGGCTGAAATGATTTAGAAGGACATGCTAGAGATTTTTCGCGCATGACAGGATGGGGGAGAGAGGAAAAAAAAAAGCAGCACGCAAAGTATTATGGAAAATTATCTGAGATCTGTGTGATGTAGGGAGGAGGCAGAGGGTAAGACCTTACTGATCTGCACAGCCCTGCAAGACACTCGTGATCAGAAACCGCCGGGCAATCCCCGCTCCGAAAAGGCACGCAGAGGAGGGCGTTTGTGAGAGCAGGTCCCCTCTGGAACTTAAAGAAAGAATGGAGGAAAATGCACTGTACCTGGCTGTGTGTGTCCAGTGGGTACAGTCTTATTCTGACTGCTTGACATTGGTCTCTCCCCTTCTTCTGGCAACTCTGGCTTGCCAGGGGCCACTAGCTGGGCCTGCTGTAGCTCTTGGTGGGCTCCTTCCCCTGCTCCTGTGTCACTGCTTTTCAGGGGCAAGGCCATCTGGGTTGGGGACCTGTTTGTGATATCGGTGACGCCCATCCCTTTGCTCCAGCTGGATGCAGAGGAGTTTCTGGAGGTGATGGAGGCTCCTCCCACGGCTTCCGAGACGCGGCTGGGCAGCGCGAAGGAGAGGGGTTCCGACGTCGTCAGCGGCGGAGATTTGATGGGTTTTCGCCCCAGTTTGGGGGAGAAGGCAAGGGGTTTGCAGGCTTTCTCTTCCGTGGGGCTCAGGTCCAGCGTAAAGAAGGGACTCATCTTCTCTTGGAAAGGGGAGACCGGCTCAGAGCTCGTGGCACTGCCCGGTGTCTGGGACTGGCTGCCTGATTCCAAATCCTTCTTTAGAAGGCTGGGCTTCTCCTGGTTCAGACCAGAGGACTCCAGCAGGGAGGTGCTGCTCTCCAAGCACTCGGACTCCGCCTGGGGTGGGCTGCACTGGAAAGACATGGGGTCAAAGTCCAGGCTGGCGACGCCGATGTCGGGGGGGCTCAGGTCGACGTCTTCGGCGGATCGAGGAGAGATGAGGGCAGGAACGTGGATGAGCCCCTCGTCCCCGTCGCTGTCGTCGTGGGGAAGGTTGTCGTAGGAGTTGCAGCGGTTCATGTTTCCTAAGAGCTCTCCGTTGAAGGATGCAGACAGGGCATCGCTGCTGGACCTGGGTCTTCTGGGTCGGAACAGCTTGGATTCACCTAGGAACGAGTTAGAGACATGTGGATTAGGGTCAAGATCTTGCTCTCCAGGAAGTGATGGTTTGGAACAACACTACAGACTTGGGGAAGAGTGGCTGGAAAGCTGCCCGGAAGAAAAGGACCTGGGGGTGTTGGTAGACAGCAGGCTTAACATGAGCCAGCAGTGTGCCCAGGTGGCCAAGAGGGCCAATGGCATCCTGGCTCATATCAAGAATAGTGTGGCCAGCAGGAGTAGGGAAGTCATCGTGCCTCTGTCCTGGGCACTGGTGAGGCCTCACCTCGAGGGCTGTGTTCAGTTTTGGGCCCCTCACTACAGGAAGGACATTGAAGTGCTGGAGTCCAGAGGAGAGCCACCAAGCTGGGGAGGGGTCTGGAGAACAAGTCCTATGAGGAGAGGCTGAGGGAACTGGGCATGTT